ACCCAAATAATTCAACCAGTCTCCTCAATGAGGAATTAAACCCAGACAGTGGATTCACAAAACACAGTATATGATGCAAAAAGAAAATCTTTCATCTGTTTATTTCATGGTGTAATAAACGTAACACAGCAGTCAGGAAGAGACACAGAACCGAAAAAAACCCAACCTAACCTCTAGAGCCACCTAGGCTTAAGATACAGAATGCTTCAAAACAATATGTTTTCATTTATTTATTAATTTACATATGTACATATATTACTGACATTTGCTTATTTATGCAAATACTATGCACAAGTGATCATGCAAGAACTACGGTATGATATAAACCAAAAATATAATGAATAAGTTATGTTTGAGCATGTGTCCTCTTTTATGTAATTTTGTTATTTCTATGTTCTTTTATTACAATTAGGGTTATTCATTAAAAGTGAATCAAATAGCATAATTGAAAACTTTGAAATGACATTTAAATGAAAAACCCTGAGTGTGTTCCTTACAGGGTAATCCACTAAAATGAAAATTCAAAGTAGTAAAAAGCAAAAATGAAGAACAGGAGTGAATCAAGGGTGATTACTGGTATGTTGGCCCTCAAGAGTAGGACAGTATTCAGACACTATGTATACAATAAAACATAACTTTTAATATTAGAATATTAAAAAGTATCTAGATGACACTAGTATTTTACCACAAACAAAGGATAATGAAATAGGATATCAATTAGGAAAAATGTAGACGGGACTATCTTCCAAGCTGTGTCATGTTTAGTATCTAACACATGGATAGTAATTTGGTAAAGTGCCCTCTAGTGGATGAACTCAAATACGTTCTATGTTTTCAATAGTTGTAAAAATCTAAATATAGCTAATAATATTTTAAAGGGACACTGCAGTCACCCAGACCACTTCAGCTAATTGAAGTGGTCTGGGTGCTGTCTCCCTATTACACTTAGTGCTGCAATATAAAACATTATGGTTCCAGAGAACTGCAATGTTTACATTGCAGCACTAAGTCTGCCCTCTGTGGCTGTCTACCAGACAGCCATTAAGGGCGCTTCCGGAATCCAAACAGACTTTTGGTCTGTTATCTGATGTTGGACATCCTCATGTTTGTTTTATTGCACTAAATGTTCTTAAATGTGATAGGAGCTATTTTCTCTGTGGGTTTATTGATACACAATTATCTAACATAGACTGTCAGGGTTCCAATGTCTGTGCAATCAGGGTTACTTAGGGACAGATTTACATCACAGCACATGGATGCACAGAATTCTCAAACTCCCACCCCCACCCCATTCATATTGCACAATCCTCACATTCCCTAAGTGCCACTGACTTGCTAAAACAAGGCATCTACTATACTACTGTATTGTCACCATGTCTCGAAACACTGATGTCTACCCAAAGTCTCCTCCCCATCTTTTCCTTGGCTGCTGGAATGCAGCCCTGTACTTTTGAGCCATAAAGACTCTTATGCAGTGTGTGTGAGGAACCTCACTGTTAAAACTGGAATGACTTAAGACTCAGTGGAAGTTTTTGTTTTAAGTGGAATGTGCCAAATTATATTTTGCAATGTTCAGAAATGCAAAATAAAATATAACCATGTATTAATCAGTTTGCAGGCGAAAAGTGGTAATAAGCAAATGTTTTTAAATACATGCAATGAGGGCATCTTGGAAAAAGAGTTTAGAATCCCCTTATAATGTGCCTGCATGGACATGATTTGTAGCCGTCAGGTGATGGAGGAAAAGAACCCTGTTTCCCTCTCTCTCTCTGCAAGAACACTTCAAGATTAGTTCACACAGCTTGCAAGTTGAGGAGGTATAGTGGTGATCTTTAAATACATACAATGGTGGATCACACGTATTGATGCGTCTAAATAAAAACATAAAACCATATAGTGTAATATTGTCAATGTATATATAAATATGGAAAGCGTAGAGATCATGTACTCACAAGCCTGGAGCCAAATGAAATCATATGGCTCCCATGAATAGCGCAGTGGGACTATTAAATGGGATGTCCCCGTCCGTCTTGTAGAAATTCTTGTAGTTCTCAAGCAGCATAAAAATAAAGCTGAATTGGGTTGATGTGATTTCTTCCAGAAAAAAACTTTATTCAGAATGTGCAATAAAACAATTAATAAAGGAAATATAAAAGCAAATATAAAAACATGGACTGCAGAGTTGGATAGATCCAAATTCCAATATAGCCAGATGGCTGATAATATCTATTGTAGTCCGAATAGCCCAAGTGGCTAATAGTGTCTATTAGGATCCTATACGCGTTTCGCCCCGTGCCAGGGGCTTCCTCAAGGACGTAACGTTGCTGGTAACTAGGCGATAGTTAGTGTCCCATTGGATAGTATTCAAAACTTGCAATATATGGATTGTATCTTTGAGATGAGATGGATTTTTAATCGTTACGTCCTTGTATAGCATCATCCCCCACGATATAGGAATTAGAGCTGTCAAACATTTTTTAATTAAAGCAGATTTTAAAGAAGAACAAATTGAGTTTATTTTAGAAGGCATTTATCTTATTTTAACTAACAATTTTTTTTGGTTCAACAATACTTTTTATCTTCAGATTATAGGAACGTCGATGGGCACCAAATTCGCACCCAGCTACGCAAACTTGTTTATGGCATATTGGGAGGAACATTTTATATTCTCTGAACATCCTTGGTAGTCAAGTTTGGTGATGACATATTTTTAATTTGGAATGGTTCCATTGAACTCTTGGAAATGTTCGAATCCTTTTTAAACGACAACGAGTGGGGAATTATATTAACAACTACCCATAGTCAGACGGACAATAATTTTTTAGACCTTCACGTTTTCATACAAAATGATCAGATTAGAACCAAAAACTTTTTTAAAGTGGTAGATGCGAACGGATACATCGAGAGAAACAGTTGCTACCATAAACCATGGTTGAACAATGCACCCAAAGGCCAATTTCTGAGGATCAGACGCAATTGCACTTATGATGAGGATTACATACAACAAACAACGAGAATAAAAGAACAATTTCTAGAAAAGGGATATGAAGAGGACAGACTAACTGTAGCAATGGAAGAAGTTAAGAATACATCAAGACAAGAATTATTAATTTATAAATCTAAAGATACACAACAAATACATACTCAAAAAATCCCTTTTATATGTAATTTTATTGGCAATAATAAAAAAATTAAGAAAGTCATAAAAAAGTATTGGCATATTTTAAGAGACGATCCAATTCTAAAAGAGATTCTACCAATACAACCACAAATTATATATAGAGGTGCAGCGAACCTAGTTTATATTTCCTTTATTATTTGTTTTATTGCACATTCTGAATAAAGCTTTTTTCTGGAAGAAATCACATCAACCAAATACTGCTTGAGAACTACAAGAACTTCTACAAGACGGACGGGGACATCCCATTTAATAGTCCCACAGCGCTCTTCATGGGAGCCATATGATTTCATTTGGCTCCAGGCTTGTGAGTACATGATCTCTACGCTTTCCATATTTATATATACATTGACAATATTACACTATATGGTTTTATGTTTTTATTTAGACGCATCAAGACGTGTGATCCACCATTGTATGTATTTAATTCTTGTATTTGTTAGAGTGGTTTAAGGGGTCTCCACTCAGGTGGTTATAGCATTTTTTGCTATCACACTTATTCACCTTTGTTCACTGTATACACTTTACATTTATAGTGGTGATCTTTCACTTCTCACTTTCTCTGCAAACCCACAGTGACATCAGTTCTAAGGCTGCTGTCAACAAATAATGGGAAACAGAGTGCCCAACTGCAAGGTGCACTATGCACTAAACAAAATCGTACTAAGCGCTGTAATATTTAGCAATTTTAATTAAAGCATTCAGACACTTCTTTGCGCTATAAGAACCACATTGGTATATACACATTCATTTCCTTCTTTGCCCCAGGAAGCTCCTGCACTGAGGGAGGAGCTCATTGGCTGAGAGTACTTAGCAGGGTTTCGCTCAGTGGAGCTAAAAGAATCTTCTTGCAGGAGGTGGTTATGGATGCCCAAGTGGCTCAAGTAAGTTGTCTAAACTTTTTAAAACTCTTTGACTACTTACACTGTGGGATGCCAAGGCACTCCTGTCAACAAAACACTTACAGCAGGCTGTAGTGGTTATGGTGCCTGGAGTGTACATTTAACAAAAATTATTCCTCTTCATAGGAAGAGTATCATGATGCAACATTGTATAAATTACTTTTCCATTGAGCCTTCAGGTTGTTCAATAGTTCCTTCTGATTGGTTCAGACTTCAGTATTTAGGTCAGTAAAATTTTTGTCTAAATGTATTATTGGAAGTTGTGTCCTTGTGTGCCAAACCAGGACCTAAAATGTTAAAAATTAAAAAAATTGTTATTGTTGGTCATGTAATATCCTTCATTTTTTTTCTTGTTCAACTAAATGCAAGTTCTTATGTACGATTGTATATACAATGACACAAAAAAATAATTATCTAACATTGTAATGCATAAGTAGGGCCACACCCTATAAAGTATAGTGTGGGACACAAACATTTTTAAACTGATAATACAGCGTAACAGAACTAAAAGATTTTATGCAAGCTTGGTACATTACACACACCAATGAGCAGTTGTGAGGCAGAAAAGAAAAATGAAGTGCACTAGTTAAACATTAAAAAAATTAAGTGCACAAAATAAAAAAAATTAAATTAATTTTTTTTTTTTTTATATTTCTTTATTTTATTATATGAAATTTTAACATTTGCATATGAGGTACCCCAAAGGCAATCCTCCAGCACATTAAGACAACCAAATACAAAGGATAAATGTTAAAAGGACAGCAAAAAGGTTAGACACACAAACAGAAAAAAGCAATAAAAAAAAAAAAAAAGAAAAAAAAATAATCAATGAAACTGCTAAGAGCATAGATAAGTAGGCAGTATAATGTAATATAGGCACTGTGTAGTATTAAACACTGAATGATTACACATATAGTACAGTGTATCCGTTGAAAGCCATCATACACCCAATGTGTATTTCAATCACACTACACTTGTCCAATGCCAATCGCTATCAAAAACGGGTTAACGCCAACATTTCCCATGGTATAGATATCACATTGATAAAAAAATATATATATATATATTTCTAAATAAATATAAAAATATAGATAATTATAATACAAATAATTACTCCTCTGAGACTCGATAAGGGGGGGACCACAATGCATAATCATGAATTCTGTCTGTTTGTCCAGGGTAACCATAATTTGGCCACATCTCTAGTACTAAAAAAGGGAATTGATTCCATCCTATATTGATACTCTATTTGCTCCATAATATTGTGCCATATTAATGGGATAGAAGATTTCCAAGCCCTTGCTATACATATTTTAATAGCAAAAAATATATGAGTCAAGAGATATTTTTGATATTTGTCCTGCGAAGGAAAACCAATGTTAAAGAGAAAAAGTTGAGGACTAATTTCTTTTATCTCCTTAAAAATAGAATTAATAAGGCCAAACATTTGAATTTTTATATTATCCAGACCATGACACTCCCACCATATATGGTAAATAGTTCCCTCCTCAATTCCACATCTCCAACAATTCTTAGAATGGACAGATGATATTTGGTATAGTTTAGTCGGTACCATATACCACCTATATATTATCTTTAAATGTGTTTCATAAAGAGAGATACTATGTATACAACGTTTAACTAGGAGTGTATCTTTGGTCCATTCCAGAAGTGAAAAGGATTTCTCAATATCTTGTTCCCATTTAACGAAGGAGGTAGCATGAGAATCTTGTTCCATTGATTCTAGCACCTTAATAAATCTAGAGATCCCACCCTTCTTTTTATATAATATAATAAGGGGATTAATAATATGGTCCTTAAGTATGGTCCGAGAAAGTATAAAATTCTTAATCCTTAAATATTGGAAAAGATCTCTGGGGGGAAGATTAAACTTTTCTTGCAATTGTGTAAATGGGATGGGTTTAGATCCATCCCATAAATCCGAGATCTTCGTTAGACCTAGATGTATCCAAGATTGAACATTTATATTATCCATTATATGTTGTAGGACCACTAATGGAACTCTATATAATAACTTATCTTCCAACTTCAATTTTTTATTTAGAATTCTAGAAGTATTGACCATATCTATCAATATTCGGTTCGAAAAATTCTTGGTATCCAATTCACCCAAATTTAACAAACCCATCCAAAAAAGAACAAACAATTTACTTCTAGGGCTATCCTCCTGTTCTAGGGTAAACCATGATATGGATCCCTGTTCCCTATCTAACCACTGTAACAGATGAGTCGCCATACATGCTTCATGAATTTTATCAACATCTGGAAATGCTATACCACCCTTCTGATAGCTCCTTCGAAGAGTGTCAAAAGCTATCCTAGGTGGTTTATTTGACCAAATGCATTTGGAAATCAGAGTTTGAAAACAGTTAAGAGTACCTTTCCCCAGTCTATAAGGAATCGCCCTAAAATAGTATATAAGTTTAGGTATCAAAAAAGCCTTAATCATATTTAGTCTTCCTATCCATGAGGACTCAATCTTCCTCCAATTGTATACCAGTTGTTGCAAGTCTTTTAATAATGTGTCATAATTTGTTTGTATCGTCCTCTCTAAATCAAAAGATATTTTAATCCCCAAATAACCAATAGTATCTTTTGCCCATGAAAATTGGAAATGTGCAGCCAAAAGATCTTTCTGGGCCTCAGATAAAAAAGAGGCTAAAATTTGAGTTTTTTTCATATTGATCTTATAGTTGGAGAAGCTACTATAGTTGGATATAGCATCCAATACCGATGGAATTGAAACCATCGGGTCCGTCAAGGTAAGGAGGACATCATCTGCAAAAAGGGAAATCTTGGTTTCCCCATTGTGAGATTTGACCCCCTTTATATTAGTATCCTGTCTGATCAAGGTGGCCAAAGGTTCAATTGTAAGAATATATAGCAGGGGAGCCAAAGGGCAACCCTGTCTAGTACCATTTTGACCTCAAAATGGTCAGACTCAACAAGAGGGTTGATTATTTTAGCTGTAGAATTCCTATATAGCAACATAGTTTTATGTCTAAACTGACCCTCCAAGCCAAATTGGCCCATGACAGAGTCCAGGAATCTCCAATTGACTCTGTCAAAGGCCTTCTCAGCATCGAGGGCCATAATAACAGATCCCCATTTATGCTCATTTATTCTATGTATTAAATTAAATGTCCTACGCGTATTATCTGTAGTACCTCTCCCTCGCACAAATCCAGACTGATCAACATCAATCAATTCTCCAATTACCATTTTAAATCTGTTAGATAATATTTGAGAGAATATCTTTATATCTAAGTTAATGAGAGATATAGGTCTATAATTAGTTATAAGTGTTAAATCTTTCCCTACTTTGGGTATAGGAATGATGGAAGCCAATAGCATCTCATTGGGGAAAGGGGTATCCGCGGACGCCTTCGTAAACATCTCTAGAAGGATAGGGGAAATGAGTCTAGAAAAGGTTTTATAAAACATTGTTGAGAAGCCATCTGGGCCTGGAGCCTTATTCAATTTTAACTTATCTATTACTTTGGTTACTTCTGATAGTAAGAATGGAGCATTCAGCGATTCCAACTTCCTTTGGTTAATTTTTGGTAATTTAAGGTTACACAGAAATGTATCCATTTCCTCTCTACTCCTCCCTACCTCCTTTAGATTATATAGAGATTTATAAAATTCCACAAATGCATTTACAATATCATTTGGTGACACTAAATGTTTATCACCTAAAACAATTTTTTTTATAAATTTATCTTTGAGATTATTTTTAATTTTATTAGAAAGATCTTTATTTATTTTATTATTATTATTATTAAATACATTTTATTTAAACTAAATAAAGACAGACACAGAGAAATCATGTTTTCATAAACCTCCCATATCATACCCTACCACAGACAAATATCAGGGTTCCATGTTTCAGTAAACAACGTTAGAAATAAAGTCCTGTTTTAAAACACAGATTTTAAATCAATGCATCTCTACAAGGATAGGCTTGTTAGAGTAGCGGGTGTT